GAGTGGTCTGTGATCTTTAGAATCACCAAGATCAAGAAAGTCAAAGAAAGATGGAAAGATTGCTCCAGGTTAAAGGAGACCCAACAGGCCTGGAAACTAATGCTGTGTGAGCTGAGATTGGTCTTTGCCATTAAGGACAGAACTGGGACAATCAGCAACAAACTGGAAGATTAGAAGACTAGCTAGTAACCCGAGCGTGCGTGCCCAAGATCCCAGAGGAGGATGGAGGAGAAGGGACTGAGGCTTGGTCATTTCCCCTGGAGGGTAATTTCTCGCCTTTTGTCTCTCTGTCTTGCTGGCAAGCACATGTGCCCTAGAGCAAAAACATCTCTTTAAGAGTTTGTTTAAAAAGGACCAGAAGATGGTGTAATGGCTATGTCACTGGACTCCCATGTAGTTGACTGCAGTTCAAGTCCTGGACCCGGTGGCTTAAACTCACACTGAGCACGTGTGCATGGTGCCCAAGATGCTGAGAGGAGAATGGAGGAGAAGGGATTGTGGTATGGCCACCCCCCCCCCCGGGGGGGTGATTTCTCACTTTCTGTCTTTCTATCTTTCTGTCTCTCTCATCAGGGATGGGAGGTCAGCTCCAGAGAGACACACACACACACCAGGGGTGCGGGCGAGTGAGCGGCAGATCAGAGAGGGATGAGAGACCCAGAAAGAGAGCGACAGGTGCTCACGACAAGGGGGACAGAGACCGCGGGTGTGACAGTGTGGGGGCGTTGCTCTCTGGCTTTGGGGTCCGAATGACCGTGAGTCCTGCTCTCCCACCTGTCAACTTTGTAACCCAAAGAAGCTGCCGAGCACCCCGAGTCTCAGCTCCGTCCCCTGCGAAGTGAGGAAAGGCGCGCTCCCTTCCTAGGAGATCCCGGCAGGGCCGCGCTCCGCCCGGCTGCGGGCAAACAGCAGGCGCCGGTTCCGGAGCGCGGAGCTGTCGGAGCCGGAGGGACCTGGGGCGAACCCGGGGTCCTTCAGCGAATGACAAGCAGGGCGGGGCGTCACCCACGGCGACCCCACCCCTGGCCCGCCCCCTGCGCCTGCCCACCTGACCAGCCCATCCGCACCCATCTGCTCCGGGCAGCGTCCGCTGGGGCCTGACTCGCCTGTGCACCCCGGCGAGCTCCAGGCCTTCCCGCCCTCCCGCGAGCGGTGAAAGGCGCCTGCGCGGTACCTCTCTCCGAACTGAGTTCTGGCCCTTTAAAATCAGCATCGCGGCTGGACTCCATTTCCCAGAAACCATTGCGGCCCCGCGCCTAGCGGCCTAAGGTCTCTAAGTGCGGAGGAATTCTGGGAAGCGGAGTCTTGGAGGGGAGGACGTGGGGCGGCGAAAATCCGTATTTGGAGAAACAGCTCTTTTGCGCCTGGAGGGAACCTGGTATTTGGAAAATGTCTGGCTGTATGGGCACTACGAGTACACCCATCTCATCCAGGATCTTTTCACTGCCCTCCGCAGGAGGCGACGCTATAGTCTATTTAACACAAATTTCTCCTACCATGATTGAAGTCTTCAGGCCACAAAAAAGTTGGCCCCTACTAAACTGAGAATGAATGAATGGAACCTGTCACTTAATTACTCCATTTCCTGAGGTATTTGCCTTCTTGTTTGTCTCAATTTCACGCATCGCCTCTTAAAGGGTAGGGTAGCGGTAAGAGAGCCATTGTGCAGGGAGCCGGAAAATGTCTGTTATGGAAGGCAAGGATGGTTTGATACTAGGATATTGTGTAACTCAGTGATATATTAAAATTAAATGGGGACCAGCAATTGGCATAATAGCTATGTCACTGTACTCCCATGTTGTCAATCGCAGTTCAAACCCTGGACCTGGTGGCTTAAACTCACGCCGGGCACGTGTGCATGCGTACCCAAGATCCAGAGAGGAGGATGGAAGAGAAGGGATTGCAGCGTGGCCATCCCCCCTGTGGGGTGATTTCTCACTTTCTGTCTCTCTGTCTCTGTCTTTCTGGTGAGCACATGCACCCTATAGCAAAAACCTCTTTCTCAAAAAAAATTAAATGACCAGATTCATAAATACTGAGAAGGCTTTTAGTAAGATTCAGTAAGCAGTCTTTCTTTTCTCTTCTTTTGTTATTTTATTTTTATTTTTGGAGAGTTTTTTTTTTTTTTTTTTTTTCTGCTTTAGGGGCGCTCGTCAGCAGAGAGACAGAAAGCAAGAAATCACGACCCCCACGGGGGATGGCCATGCTGCAATCCTTTCTCCTCCATTCTCCTCTCGGGATCTTGGGCATGCGCACACATGTGCCCAGTGTGATTTTAAGCCATTGGGTCTGGGACTTGAACCATGGTCAACTACGTGGAAGTCCAGCGACACAGCCATTACGCCAACTGCTGGCCCCCTCTTCTTTTTTTAAAGATTTATTTTACTTAATTTTATTTATTATTATTTATCCTTCACTTTTACTAGAGGGAGAAAGGGAAAGAAAGCAAGCTGCCAGATCTGAGACTCAAACCATGGTTGGCCATGTGGGATTCCAGCACCTTAACCACCATACTACCTGCGAACCCCTCAGTAAGCAGTCTTTCTAGAAAAGTTTAATAAATTAAGAATAGGCCCATATTGAACAATAATAGCCATAATGTTAGAGAGTTACTGGTTAGGGCCAGGAGGTGGCATGGTAGTTGAGGAATTGGATTCTCACGTGACCAACTACGGCTGGAGTTCCAGACATGGTGGCTTGCTTTCTCACTTTCTCTGTCTTTCTCTGTCTTACTGGTGAGCACACATATTTTATAGCAAACTTAAAATAATAAATAAAATAAAAAGACTTTTTAAAAACATATTTTATTTACTTTTATGTATTTATTTAATTTGACCAGAAAGGGACAGAGCAAGAGAGAAGAAAGTGAGAAAGCAAGCCACCAGATCTGGGACTCAAACCTTGGTCGGCTTTGTGGGAGTCCAGTGCCCCTAATCGCCATGCCACCT